CAAACCGGGAACCCCAAGAATATAGTAGGCATATAATAGGAATATACCTACCAGGGTCCTTATATTCCATTACATTCCTGCTATATTCTTGGGGTTCCCTATTTGGGGTTCCCAGTAGAGTCCCTCTACTAAAACATATCAAGGAGCGTGACCGGCGCTTTTGCATCCCCAGGAGTATCCTCGTCAGCCTCATTTGAGTTTTAGTCTAAACTCCTTAAAGGGGGTTATACAGGGGATAATATAGGGAACTATTATNNATACTAGGAGTTTAGACTATGGGGTTGTGGGGGGCAATTTGAATCCAAGCATTTACGGGGAACATGGTAGGGTAGACGCCTTACAGCCTCCAGATAGGACAAACCTCCACAGAAGAACTCCTCAAAAGCGAACTATTAAAAACTCAGGGGTTTCTCAGAAAGTCTGTCCGTTTAGGGTTCCCTGATATAAGGAGTGCACCAGCTGGTGCACGAAAATCACAACTCACAAGTCCTGTTGCGCAACAAGAGATAGCAAAGGGCCCGATGATAATAAGACTGGAAACTAAAACCGAAACGACCACATTATTGGAAAATATGTTGGGGCCTTCACGATAGAGATTCATTCCTCCATGCCCTGCTAAGCACCACAAGGAAAAGGCACCTGTGATATTGCGGCCCAGGTGACAGCAAGGAAAGCAGGCGGTGCTTTTGTTGAAGGCTTCTGCGCAGGCTTCGTTGGCTGAGCCTCTTCCTGTGGAGACACATCGACTCAAAGAAGAAACTAGGAATGCACATCATGCCTTTGTGAACTTGCACGGCCAAAATCTCCAGCCCATCTCCAAACCCGATATTGGAATTCAGGCTTCTGAATTGCACTTGGATGCAATACATGTGCTGTTGCAGCCACCAAGATATCTGGAGTTGACCTTGTTGCTGAAACCTATAGCTTTTTGTCATGCCACATTCGGGCGACTAAGCCATCAGCTCACTGCAAGGTGCCATATGCATGTCAAGATCAGGCCGCTGCACAGCCATCATTCATGGCCCTCTTATGCCAATGAAACTGCAAGGACTTTGAAATAGGCCAGGGATTCGTAACAAAAGCATACCATGCATTTTGCACTAAACCACCCAATTGGCCGGAAACACACACCAATCCTCTAATGTCGTGTGAGCTGAGGGGTCCATACAACCCACAATCATGCAGATGGCGGATCTTACGTTCCCTCCGGCTAATTTCTACATGTTCCCTTGTAGAAAACTTTCAGTCTAGGAAGCCAAGCGTGTCCTGAATACAGATTAGATGTCTTCTGAATTGTTCAAGCAACTCCCTTGCACGCCCCATATCAGATCTAGGAAGGTCTAATAAGAAAGTCAAGGATATCCTTCTTTCTCTTTACCTTCTCCAAAA